GGTCAGTATTTTATTCTTCTGTAGACAAAGAAAAAAGTTCTTTATAAGTCAAAGAAATGAATGGTTTGCATATAAAGATTGCTTTTAGACAATATGCATTTATTGGAGAAAGGAATTTCATTAGTTAATTTTGTTAAAAACTAATATTAAACATATATGCTTCTACTGTATAATTCATTTTTTTAATAGAGTAAGACTTGATAAGTTTATCTCTTTTGATGCAGTTGAATTTTATCAAAATGAGAGTGTAGAAAACTTCAAACTACTTTTTAATCTTATTTTTTTCTTACAAATTAGTCAACAAGTTATACAAACACTTCCTCAAACTTCTGCAGAATTTTTTATATTTAATATAGTTTTTATAGTAAAATATAATTAAAAAACCTGAGAAATAATAATTTTGTTTTAAATATAAATGCTGAAGCTGAACACGAAAGAATTGCATAAAACACACAAGAACAAAACAATGTAAATATTTGAATTTTTTTAGACGGTCTTTTTACCGACACATTAAACATCCTCTCCTCACATATGGTAGATATGTGACTATATATTTTTTTTGAATATATGTTTTTGTCGTTTAAGTTTTTTTACAAAAATATTGTTTGAAATGTATTTAGAATGCATGGTTGCTTGCTTTCCCTCTCCTTTTATTGGAGTATTTGGAGTTTTCTTATCCTTACACACCTTAAATGTTTTTTATCATTTACCCTTCTGACCCTTATGGAGACGGTGGATTTTTTACTATCTTCTTGCTTTGGGATTGCTTTTTCTCTTAACTTTTTCTCTGCTGGCATGGGTTTTGGAGTTTTGTCACATTCCTTGTGTATATAACTAATTATTTTTTTTTTTTTGCTAACATTGCATGTTTCTAATTATTTTGTTTTGTTCTGTGAACCCTTTTTAAATTATTTTTGTTTTACTGAAACTAAATTTCTAGGCAATGCTGCATTTGAAAATTATTTTGTTTTTATTTAAAGGTTTGGTATATACTTAAATTTTTATTCCATCTATTATGAAATTTTTTTAAATTTTTTAGTGATAGGTATTAAAAGAAGATATGTTATATGTAAAAATTGTAGAATTTTGTAGGTATATGTAAAGGTTATTTTACTTAGAATAAAACTTTGTTTAATATGCCACAACAAAAACAAAATGGGAAACACATTGGAGTTTACAATTTTATTACAACATTGTTCAAGGGAGTTAATTTCTACTTGAAAAATATATAACCTGTCTATAGTTTTTTATATTGCTTCAGTAACAAAAAATGGCATTCAGTTCTTTGTGAGGTTTGTTCATTTTCTGAATTAACATGAAGAACTTTAAAAGTCAAATTTTATAAAAAGCATAAAACCTGACTTGAAGAAATTCTTTTAACATTAATGATATGAATAGAACCATTCTGTTTAAAATTCTTCACTGAAAACAAAGATTGGAAAGAACTAAGAATGCCAAATTCTAAACTTAGTATATCTCTTATTACACTAAATCTTTAATATATCCATTAACCAAAATATATTACCTAGATATCAGTTGTATTTTAGACTGTTGATGTCTTTCCAATGAGGCTATATTGTCATATCACTGTACATGTTAGATATAAATATTAGTAGGAAATATAACTAGAATACTTTTTTGATGTTGCTTAAAACTGTAGACTAAGTATTTATTTCTAAGTATAGACTATAAAACTCTTTATGTTAATGTGTATTATTATTATTATTATTATTATATATAAAAATCTGTTATCTGTCTGTTAGCAGTTTTTGCATTAATTGCTGACTACTGAAAATTCCTTTGTAATTTTTCAATGCAGATGAAGTACCAAAATCATTAATAAAACACATTTTAGGTAAAATAATGAAATTCCACTTTGAAGCATGAGTGTTACTTTGGGGAGTTACATTTGTAGCTTTATGAATGACCTTCACCTTACTCCACAAAAGTCAGCAGTTACAAACAGTGGACTATTACAAATTCTTTTGTAAGGAAAACCAAAATGTGCTTTTCTATCCTGTTAGCATACCTGAAGTTTATATATTGTATAAATTTACTTGCAGAAAATAGATAATTATTAAACAATTTTTTTTTTTTTAATTCTTCATATTTGATATATATATATATATGTATAAATTACTTGTGTCTGACATGCCATGATGATTGACAAATATATTAGGTGAATGAGTATTTAAACCACCCTCTGAAAACTACTGCCTGGGTAGTAAAAACGTTGTTACATCGATTGTTAACCTTGGCAGTGAAAAGCATACATTCATTGTATATAATTTTAGTATTTGCTGTTTCATATTTAATCATTAGTGTGACTGATAATAAAGGGTTCATTTCAAAATTCACTGTATCAACATATACCTGAAGAAGGTCATAGGGCACAATAGTCAAATGTGATAACAATAACAAAGATGAGGATATTAGTCCAAATGTAAATAATGATAACTGCTCATCCAAGAAATTCAAACAAAAACTCTTGTAATTGTAGTTTGGGGGTACTGAATCAAACTCACCCCAAGCAAGCCAGTAAAGCTACTCATGCACAAGGGGTTACTAGAGGTAGAAGAATTAGAAAACAGAAACATTACTAAGGAGCGAGAACAAAAGAAGAGTAATCAGGAGGACATTAGATAATGATTGACATTGCATTTAAATTTTTGAAGTTGGCTGGAAAGCATTGAGCCAGAAGAGAGTTCCACAAGTGAGAAAAGAATCTGTTAGCATAGAATTTATCTTTACATCTAGCAGCCAACTCAACTAAATTGATGAGACCTTGTTGCCAGTCTAGTACTGCACTTAAATTTAGAGACTCTAAGCATCATAGTGAAGAGCTCATCCAAACACTTACCATGAAAGTATTTATAGAAAAGGCACAGGGAGGCAACTTTACTGCAGTCGGAAAATGACTGAAGATGAGGTGCAAGATCAGGACCGCTAATATTGCTGATTGTTCTTTGGATTTTATCAAGAACATTAATAGAACGACTGAACTTGAGATAGTGCTGTTTGATTCTTCTACATCCATCAAGAATCAGGATTAAAAGAGGAGACCATTATTTATAAAATTTTCTTTAACTTGGAATTAACTCAAACTTTATTTATGTGGCTGAGATAACTTTCTTTTTATAGTTCAAACTATGATGACTTTGTCGTTTGAAGATGTCTGTCTTGTATGACAGAGAGCAATTATTTATTATATAATCAAGATTTAAAATATTTAATTCAAATATCCTCTATTTTCCTAAAGATGATTCATCATATAATAATTAGATCTTTGTGTCCATGTGATTTAATTAATAAGAAAGATTTTTTTTTTTTTTTTTTATACTTGTTACTCTATAAATGAGGTTAGATTTATTTTTTTTGGTTCTAATATATTTTTATTTAATTTAAAAACATTTTTTTTTTTTTACTAATGTTCACCCAATATAAGGCCCAAGAACCACTCAAGGTAGATAGTTACTGTGCGGTTTTGTATTCATGTAAGAAAGGGCAAGAAGTGAAGTACTTGGGGCTATGCAGGAAAGATTAATGGCTAACTCAAGACTTGAAGAGCTCAACACTTAATTAGTAAATAACATTTCAGAGTTCAGTAAATATAATCCAGTTATTACATTTTTATGTAACAATACAATTTTTGTATTGAATAAAGTTTGAAAAAAATTTAATAGCTAAAATGAAGTTTAATAAAATCATAAGTCAATCACAAACTGACTTATGTTGTATCTTTATACTTATTTTCTTAAATTTATTCTAAAAAAATATTTTTATTATGCCAAATGACATTACTCTTACACTTTATGAAACTTTTTATTTTAAATCTAGAAAGGTTAACAGGTAAAATGACTTTGTTTATATAAAGTGTCATATTGAAAGTACTTGCAAGGCATAATATTTTTTTAATTAATATTATATCAAAACTTATTGTGTAAAGTTCTTTCATACTATTTTATAGTAATTACTTTTTCAGTTTCATTCTAAATAATACTTTGAAATACGCTATAAAATAGTTAAGAATGAAAAAACCTTTTAGATGAGATATATCAAATATTGATTGTTCAATGATGATTTTAATTGTACTTAATGTCACAAATCAAATATGGACAGTTATTTTCAAAGAAAATGACTCACCAATATATATTTTCTTTCATTGCCGTCTTGTTTGTGAAACTTTGGAAATAATTTTGTCAGGATATTGGCTAATTCTGTGTTAATTTCCTGTACTTTGCCAACAAACTTGGTAGTCTTGTACCGTGTGCAATTAAAAGGGTTCATAGACCAAACTAAAACAGTTAATGTCATTGCATTTACCATTAATGTTGCTACTGCTGCTTGTTTGTTTCTTATTTGCGGGTTTTTGTTTGTTTGTTTTTTGTTTTTTTTTTTGCTTGCTTCACTGCCAGATACCACTGTCATGCAGAAGTACTGGACAATGGAATGATATGTATGGCTTATCTTTTTTTTTTTATTGTTCTAAAAAAAAAAACATTCATCGGTTGTAGTGTGTGTGCGTGCGTGTTTGTAAGTATGACTGTATAGTCAAAGTTATTGTTTGTCTTTGTTTTAATGTTCATTGATATTCGCACGGTCCCCGGTGGTGGTATTGAAGAATTTTTTTTATGGGAATTAATTCTTACAGTGTTAGATAGAAGAAAAACCATTTTATCATTTTTCACCCCCCCCCCCACCTGTTACCATAATGCTTCCCCGCTTCCCATCTAATTATTAAGCAGAAGGAATTTGGCTTGAAACAAAAATCTGAAAAAAAAAAAAAACCTTTTTAAGATGGTGCTTTCTTTAGAATCAACTAATTTTGGCGATTCACATCCTATCCTTGCTGATGGTGGAGGGCTGCTGGAGTAGTCTCTAAAACCATGACACACACAATTTAAAAAAAAAAAAAAATAAATAAGAAAAAAAAAGTTAGTTACAATGAATACCCTTAATTAAATTTTTCTCTTTTCCACCACCTGTGGCGGCCCCTACAGCCCTCAACACCATCCCCGAAAAACGTCGCTCTTTTCTAGCTCCAGCTACACCCCAGCGGCCCAAGAGTACAATAGGACTCCACATGTCCTCCTCATCAGCGTCTGGTCCAGCTAAACCGCGAGAGATGAGAACTCCCAGGAAACCCCGTCCAGCCAGTATAGCAGGGACGATGCCTGGCTTTGTCCCCTTGGATGTCCCCAAATCCAGCACACCAAGGAGTAAGAGTTCAGAAAGAATCTCAAAAGGTAAGCAGATCTTTTGCACAGTCTTTGGTTTCAAGCATTTTCAAATGGTTTCTGTTTGAATGTTTGGCCAAAGGTGTAATAGTGTTTGCTGACTGCTTCAACAAACGATTTGAACGGTTTTTATTTTTGGAAAGAGAAGAAAAAAATGTGCAGAAGTTGCGAGAGAAAGAGAGAGAAAAGAAAGACAAGACCTTTTGACATAATGTTGGATATATATATATATATATATATATAATGGATATATAGATATATGTATTTCTACATGCCTTGTGTTCTCAGCTGATCAAAGACATTGTTTATGGTTAACATAGTTTGGTACGGCAGAAAAAGTTTTAAAAAACAGTTTATTCTATATTTAGTGGTGATTATGTATTATTTTTATCAAGTAATCTCAGATCTCATTTAATTTTTTTTAATAGGCATTGAAAGGTTTGTGTGTGTGTATATATATATATATATATATATATATAATATAGAGTGGGGGGTACGTCAGAGTAATGGATGGCAGCTTGGATTGAGAAATCAGAGAGCCGAGTTCAAATTCCAGTCCAGTTTGTTACATTCACTCATGTGCGAAGGTATGGATTCATCAACTTCTTCCCCCAGCTATGGGTAAATAGCAGGACAGACTGGGTCCTATAGCCTTGGGTCGTTTTGGGACCTTGTGGCACACTGTGCCAGTTCTTTATATTTGGCACTTCAAAAATGCCTTCACTACTGTAATGAAATCATATGTGTGAGTTGTCTAGCTTTTTGGTTCTAAGAACTGAGTTGTTGTACCCTTACATGTTGAAAACAGTGGAAGAGTTCAGTTATATATATATATATATATATATATATATATATATATATATAATCAACACCATCACTTGACAAGACACCAAGTGCTGAAACAAAATAGCTATTTGTGTACTTATGTTATAGCATGTTTGTTATAATTTTTGAATAAATAATATATATATATATATATATTAGTGGTAAATATACATATACATATGCAAAATATATAAATATACATACATACACATACATATATATTTGTATAAAAAAAATATTCCAAGAGGATAGAATCCAGGTAGAACTCAATGTCCAGGACAGAGTAAGGATATAATAAAAAGGCTTAAACACGAATATTCCATGGTCATAATTTATTCCATTGGAATTGTAAATACGATCTAATTCATCAGACCTACAAATTCAAAAAGAAAACAGAAAACAAATCTTTTACTATAATAAAGTTTGTGTCAAAGACATGAATGTTAAAATGCAAAAAAATACAGAATAAACATATACAATATAAAAAAAGATGAATTTGATCTTTGTTTATTCGGCTACTGACAGTTTCATATGCACACACAATCTTCAGGTTATGGAAACTGCATCATTTTCTTTACTTTAATATTGTAGATGTACATGATAACTCTGATTTCTTAAGTGTTTCTCTTAAAATAATTTATTCATGCTATTTTATATCTGAAGTTGTTGTTAACCCTGTAGACTCCCCTGTGGAGTATAGTGCCACAGCCTCACTACACTAGGTGATGCTGCTAGGGTTTCTGTTGCAAGTAGGTTTTTACAAGTTTTGGATTCAGAATTGCCAACAAAGATTAGATATCTCAGTCTATGCTGCTATTAACCTCTGGCTGGAGAGAGAAGAGATGGATTAATAGCTTTCCAAGAATATTTGTGAGAAAGTGAATGCAACAGGCTCAGGTAGAACTTGAACTCTCTTCTCCCTCTCTGCATTGATAACCACTGTGTTATGTGCTTATCTATTTATGTCTGAAGAAGGACAAACAAAATAGTCATTGAAACAATGGTTGATTTGGTTTTACTTAATGAAATTATCAGTTAAGATTAAAGCAATGGAGAAATGCTTTGTATCTTGTGGTTATTTAAAGGAATTTGTTAGAACCCCTAATTACAAGATTTTATTTTTTAAATTTAAATGAAAAAAGTTTCAATATCAAAGAAAAATTTATTTTAATTGCAAAAAAAAAAAATCTGCCAGTACCAAAATTCTTGTCTCCCTCAGTCAATTCCACCAAGCAGGTGAAATCAAAAAATTCAGCTCATAAATTTCCATTTCTAATTCCCCAAATACATTCAGTCATAATCTTTTTACTTCCAAATCTTATTCATTCTTCCTCTATCATAGCATGCTGAATCAATTGTTGGTAGCTTTCTCTTTTGGTACATAGAACTTTACAATTACTGCTACTATTGCTCTATAGTGACATGTTTCTTTTGTTTTCTCTTGAGGTCTTTTTTTTACTGCAGACACAAGTGCACCTATTATTCACTTCATGTGTCAAACTCTTGCTTAGAAGCATGTGTTTAGTCGTCAGGAATGTTAGTATATACGTCCTTCATGACTATTTGCTTGTCTAGCATGCCACTACTCTCTCTTAAAATTTATGAGTCCAATTACATGTTTAAATTTTAAATTGTTTACAAAAATCTTTGTAATTAATTCCCATTCGTTATTGTTTCAGCTTTTTGTTTGCAAAATTAAGAAAACAGATATTAATTTGTCTTGGTTCATTTTCTTATATTTTTTTTTTTGTCTTTTGTAGTAATTGATGAATACATTTGTTTTTTCTTTTAAGTGAGTCAGGTAGTAATTTCAAAATGAATAAATGACATGGTAATTTTTTTCATGCATAAAATAGAAATTTGATAGACAAAAGAGCACTGACTTTTTGATCAAATTTCTGATGAAATATGTGCCATTATAATTAGGACTGATATTAAAAATATTTAATTTCTGGGAACTATTTTTACAACTTTTTAAATCTTATCCCTATAAATGCACAAAAAAACTATTTTTGTTAATTCAAATTGTGTTATTTTATTTCATGACTTCATTTTAAAAGTATGTGAGGTTTAATTCCAGTTTGAAGTACTCTCGAGAATGGACCAAATCAATTTTTTTTTCTGTTGATCTATTTGTGTATTTGTTTGTGCTGAACAAATTCAATGTACTGTTTCTCTTGATTAATCTGCTGTTATAATCTATGAAATAAATGTCTTGTTTGTTGTAGCATGAATAATGTTTTATCGTCTAACCAGTGGGCAGAAAAAAAATGAACTGCTCATCTGTGTTTTTGAAAAACTGTAAAATCTATTTTTTTTAGTTGTTTTTTTCTTTTTCTATTTGAAAAATCCTGCCTCATAAATGAAAACGGCTAACAACACTCAAATAATAGATAATACCAAGTTCTCCAGATTGATACTTCACTCTAATGTTTATTGAAATGCGTCAACTGACTCATGTCTAATAAAATAGCCAGAATCTGTCAATAAACCAATTCTTTAATCATTTCTAAAAATAGTCATTTTATTTTTCTTCATTTGTTCATTCAAGGATGTTATAGTATTTTAGATGTATTTTAATATGAGAAGAAATGAAGACTTTGTATCAATTTCTCTGAGTCACTTTTTGATGATATTATTGATTTATTATCTTTATTTAATCTCCGACTGTATTTAAAAAATATCCCCAAAATAATGTTTCAATTTATTATTGTTGTTGTTATATCTGCAAATTCAGCAAATTTTGCTTTAGATGGAATCAAAGTACCAGCTGTAGTATATTTTCATTGTGATTTGCGAATTCTTGTTATTATTTCTACACCAAATTTTTTTATGACCAACATAATTGTTGCTCTTAGAGTTTTCAGTTTTTTAAAAAACATTTACTAATTCTATTTAAATTAGATACACAGGTAAAAAAAATAAAATAATAAAATTGTGAAGTACTTTTCTTGTGTGCTATCAATATTTTAACTGATTTATTTTTGTTTAATTTGTGTGTGTGTTGTATGTAACATTTATAATTCCAATTCAGAATGTGAGTTTGTCTGGCATTTTCCACAGACTGTTGCTTGTACACAAACTAATAAAATATTTGTTTAAAATGTTTCTGCTGTTTTAATAATTGTGAACACACAAACACCTATGACTTGCCTGAATTCCTTGATATCTTCTTGCACATTAGCCAGTGTCCTGAATTCCCTTTAGAACAACCACCTTTACTTATAGTGACTACATTTAGGAACAATGTATATTCAAGTATTATTGTTGATTTAAAAAAAAAAAAATGAAAAAAATATGGATCATTCAGTTAAGAATCTTTATTTCTTCAAGTTATAAGTTATATAGAGTTTTAAGTTATTCTATATTTATGGGTTAAAGTACTCAATATCAGGGATAGAGCATATGTAAATATAAAAGTGGACATTGTAGTTAACACCCAGAGGCAACTGTTTGTTTAATGCTTAAATGCAATTTTCAGATGGTCTTTAAACAGACTGTTGCTGCTGGGTGTTGACATCAATGTCCATATATATATATATATATATATATATATATATATATGATGCTAAATTAATTTTGACCTTATGTCTAAATATTCATGGCAGTTTCTAATGATTCTCTATGTTCTTAAGGGTATGGTCAATAATGGCTCTCCACAGCTTCTTGTCTTTTGTTATGCTCAGCAATATTTACTGCACCTTTTCATTTTTGTGATACTTCTTCCCACAACCATTTGCACAAAAGTTTTGTTTTTTTTTGTTTTTAAATAGGCGATTTGCTGTTTTCCTTTGTTTCTTTGGCTTTTGATGTGCCCCATGGGTGTTAAATTCTCCATGCTTTCTTTTCTTATATGTCTTGAGTAGATCAGCACTTTCTTTTATATTGCTCTCTAGTAGTTCTCATTCTCCTTAGAAATTCCTCATTTGTTGAATACTCTGTCCATGGTATTTTTCAGAAGAACTATGCCACTGTTACTTCAAGTCTTTCCTTTATTTGTAATAAAATTATCTTGCATTCACTATCATATAGGAGGAGGTTTCCCAACCATTTTTGTGTCATCATCCACTTGTAAAGTAAATATTTAAGAGCATACCAAAATGGTTTGGTAAAAGTTTGTTATTGGTTCATAAACTGAATTTATGATGTAGTCAAAAATAACAAAGAGATGTAAGAAACAACAT